CCAGTTTGAACATCTAAGATCCATCATTGATGACCTCCAACCCCTCCTGGAAAAGGATGACAATCTCCAGGTAGCAACCTGTCCTGGTTTACAGACAGCCACCAACCTCAAACGGCGCATCTCAACCAACTGACTATGTAACTCCCATCCTCAGTGAGGCAACAGGCTTTGCAATGGACCCAAAAGCTTGCTTTTTGCCCCCATATCAATCTAGACTCCATCACCACTGGCCCAAATAGCAAGAAGTACAAGATCCAAGATTCATTCACCTGAAGCTCTACTGATGTGATATACACCATCGCCTGCTTACAATGCCCATCTGCTGTCTACACTGGACAGACAGGGAGATTTCTACATATAAGAATGAATGAACCCCCATCTGATATCAGCTGTCTGTGGCAGAATGCAACAATTTCATTGTTCACCTCAGGATTGCTGCTTTTAGGCCGAAAAATTTTTTAAAACCAATTTGAATGAGAAATTGTGGAACAAGAAATCATCCACAAATAGACTGTGTTAAATATGGTTTAAACGAGAACTATAGATTCTTATCCCATTACCTGGATTAGCTTTTGTGACCCCTCCTATGGGTTCTTTGCTCCTATGCCTCTCACAGCATGGTGTTCTACTCATTCTCTCTATACTCTGTTCTATACTGTCCTTTCACAGCATCTGATGAAGTGAACTTGAGTTAATCAAAGCTTGTGTTTTCTCTCTATATATATCTTATTTAGTTCTATAAAGGCATATATCTATCCTGCCTTCTGACTGACTTGAGACTAACATATCTAACTACCTTCCTCCAAATTCTTATGTCATCAATATAGATCTGCACACCTCCTAGACACGTTAGCATCTGGTTCAATCAGTTGGCACCATCATTCTTTATAGAACATGGTGTATGTGCCAATGAGTTCTTTGATGGCTGCTGAATCCAAAGTTTGAGTGAGAGTTTCACCCACAGGTAGGCCGTACCTGTGCTCTAGCAATGCTCTGAATTCAAGAAACAGGTTCTTTCCTCGTCTGCTGCCAGTCATCAAAAAACTGAATCCAGTCTGCCTTGCAGTGCCTCACTCTATGAAGGCAAATACTGCAAGGTGAAATTCTGTGAGGTGTTTCTGGAGCTAAGCATATTCAAGCATATATCAAGAGGCATTGAGTATTTCAGCCTTTTCTTAGGAAAAAGGCAAATATAGGAAATGTGCAGATATTTACTTTCCTAGGAGAAACTGTCCTGGGTGAGATTTAACCCCGGCTGTTCCCACATTGTTTTTCTCCCGGAGCAGCTATTTTTACCCTGGGAGAAAAAGCCTAAACATCTGTACATTTGTAGTTTCTCTTGAGAGAGCAGCAACTCTCCCAGGAGAAACAGGGTATCTGTGCAAGGCCTATGCCACAGCAGTATACCAGTTTACATCACATGGGGGTCCCACTAGTGGCAGTTTACATCTACTTTGCATAAGCATTAGTGACTTAATCAGCTATAAGGAAGAGGAAGATCTGCCCCATTACATTTTAATGGCCTGATAATCTGTGACCATGTATAAATTGCAAATGTACCATGCCTCAGTCGCCTCATGCCACTCTGCCTGTGCTTCATGCCACTCTGTCTGTGCTACTGACCAGAAACAGTGGCAGCTGAGTCCATGTGGAAGTGAAGTGAGTAGTCTGATTAGTACTGCTGCAAGTTGGTGATAGTTAGTCTAATGTCAGCACTGTGTGGGCTGTGCTATATGGCTTCTGTTCTTGCCAATAATACACCTGGAACCTTGCAGCATGTTTGAGAATGCTGTTATTTGGCATGGTAAGTCATCAGCCTAGACATGGCCAGTAAGTTTACAGTGCATTAGACATGGTGACTCTAGTAAAATTTAAAAGATACAATTTGAAGAATGTTAATGAGATGAAAAATTTTGAAAATAGTTTTGAATTAAATAAGATGAGTAAGCATGGCTGCTGCAAAAATATGAGGCTTAATTAAATTAGTTGATTGCAAAACATGTTGAAAATAGAGCAGTGTTATATAAATGTAAGCTATTCTTTTAAAACTTGAATTAAAAGATGTAGTTGAAAAAAATATGAGTGCATACTAATATGCAAAGACAAAACTACATCCATACATGCCTGCATCCTAAAATTACTGTCATAGACCAGATTTGTATGGGCAAATCAGGCATTTTCATATGAACGTAATGTGATATCTCTTTGGTTGCGAGCGCATACAGAGATCAGATTTGAACATGCAAACAGGGCATTTCTGTACAGAATAATCATGCAAAAATATGCATAAACAGTTGTGTACTGTAGATGTAACTTTGAGAATCTGAGCTAAAGCTACAAATATTTCAGACTGTTCATTGGGTGGCAGGGACTGCTGCATGGCTCGGGTGTCTTGTGAATCAGAAACCAGAAACCCATTCATATGTGTGCTTTATTTTGTTTTAAAAATAGATTGTTTTTTAAATGAATAGGTATTAAATTAAATATGTAATTAAACACAATATTTTACTGTTTCTAGCCAGTGAAAGCATTGTTTATTTCCCAGAGTTCAGAAGCCATGTCATCATCATCGTAATAATAATAATAATAATAATAATAATAATAATACAAGAAAAACATTTCCCCAGCTTGCTGCATTCCTGGCATAGTTGTTCAACTTGTCAGCTGTGTTAGCTTGACACTCCTTGATTAGCTGCTCTCATGGTTTTGCTGTTGTGCCATAAAGGCAGTTTCTATTTCAGCAGATGAAAGAAACCTTAGAGATGGTGCGTGAGTGTTTGCAGACTCTAATCATATTCTGCATACATTTGACATGCTGAGTGGTCTCAATGATCTCTCAAGATATCCACTGTCAAAGAAGCTACTTCAGTATACCCTTGAATGGTACTATTAGCTCCACTATATGACTGTTCTATGAAAATGCCATTACATTGACTTCAAGATACCAGCGTAGAACGTACATGCATGACTGTTTCAATGCTGAGTGATTGTAGTGAAATAAAGGGCACTGTTATTTTTTATTATTTATGAACTTTTTAGTTACCTTCCATCATCGTTTCAATATTTTCATGAACCTTCAGGTTTAAAAGGTATAAATGTTCAGGTTAAGCAGCTATGGATGTGCTCTGTTGACAGAGGTATTGGCTAAAATAATTTTAAAGGGTAAAGAAAACTTAGCAAGGGTCAACAAGTCTCATCAACAGTGAAGCTGGCAAATAATGAATCACATTTTTGGTTTTCACGTGATTTGTGAAAGTTGAACATTCATATTTTCATCTCCATTTTGGGGGTGGGGGTGAGGGAAGCTTGTTGTTTTTTCACCCTCTAAAATAATTCACGAGACAGAATTTTGCTTTTAGGGTTGACTAGAAGATGTCAATTACATTTTGTAAAAATTTAAAGTTTCAAAATTTGTTACTGCTTTGTTTCAGGAGGAAAGGGGAATAGTTTGAAATATTTCATATGAAAGAGACCCAGAATAGCTTATACCCCAGTGGTTCTCATTGGTTAGGGAATTTACTTGAGTTTCCTGAAATTCCATGTAAATGCCCTTACACCCAAGCAATGGCATGGTTGTTTATCTATTTCTCACATTAGAGTTGTTCCATTTGTATAAATAATTATATATGTATTGGGCTAGAGAGATGCTGACTTTTATAGCCCACTGGTTAGGGTGCTTGCTTGGAATGTCAAAGATTCAGGTTCAAGTTGTTGCTCTAAATTAAGCAGAGCAGAGACATGAATTTTTGTTCTACTCTTATGTACATTTTTAGCTGCTCCTAGAAAAGAGAATTTTTACAACCCAAACTCACTTTTTTGGATCCCAGATGAAATTCAGGGTACTGATTGTATGCATGACAGAAACATTCCTCCCAAGGAAGTCCTCTTTCTATATCCACATATTAAAGATGCTTTGAACATATAATATTAATTTTTACTTGTTTTGTGTCATATGAGTTTAATTCTGAGCTGTGAGATTTCTCCAGCAGAAGAAATATGTTCCAAGGACTTTTTCAGTGGGCATTATAATAAAGGTTTGTGTGATAGTGGCAAAACATAACTTTCCTTCTGGATAAAGCCTTGCATTTTAACTTTAGTAAACTGTTAATTTTAATATTACAAGATTTGGGATCCAATATTCAGAGACAATCCAATGAGTTTAAATCACTGGTATTTCAATGCTCTTTGTTTTTAGAAGGATCATGCCCCCTTGGTCTAGTTATCATTTTTTTTCCTTTCTTATTTCATGTGAGCTTTCTTCTTCATAATAAAGAAGAGCATTTTATTTTATTTCTAGTTCCTCACAAAGAAAAACCTGAGAAACCAGCAAAACTAGAAAAGCCTGAGAAGCCAGTAAAACTTGAAAAGCCTGAGAAACGAGAAAAACCAGAAAAGCCTGAGAAGCCAGTAAAACTTGAAAAGCCTGAGAAACGAGAAAAACCAGAAAAGCCTGAGAAGCCAGTAAAACTTGAAAAGCCTGAGAAACGAGAAAAACCAGAAAAGCCTGAGAAGCCAGTAAAACTTGAAAAGCCTGAGAAACGAGAAAAGCCTGAGAAACCAGTAAAGCTAGAAAAGCCTGAGAAACGAGAAAAACAAGAAGAACCTGAAAAGAAAGTGCCCCCCAAAGGTAATTACCTAACTTCTTGGGTAAATCTAAATTTTAGGTTTATAAATAGTTTTATAGTTTTACATACATTTTTATTTATTTTTGCAAAATGTGTAAGTGTAATAGTTTCAGCTGCTGTTGACCAATGGTAAGCTAGTTCTTCCATAGGCCCATTTCATTACAGGCCTCAAAGAGAGAGTTCCTTTCTCTCAAGCCATGAAGAACCCATATTTCTTGCTTAATACTCTTGTTTTATGACACAAGGAGCTCACAGATGATTCTTGTGTAGCTGAGGTAATAAGCCTGTGAGCATTGTATTTACTTGCTTATTGTCCTTTTCTCTAAAATTGGATTCAGGGATTGACTATAACAAAGGTTCTCTCATGTATCAGCTTTCAATTTAGTAGGGACTATTCTGAGATATCGTTTACCATCTCTTGCTTAATGTCTTATGTCATCACCAAAAAGGGATATTTGTTTTCAAGCTTTTCTTTTTTGTGACAACCTTTTAGTTCTGGTACACAGTCTGTGCAGCCTCTGATTGACAAAAGTTTCTTTAGTAATTCAAATATTCCTTGGATGAGCTGTCCACATTTTGCAATTCTGTGGCATATGCATTTCTAGTATTCTTTCAATATAAAATATACTTTGAATAGGAGGCATTCAAGAGTGTTAACATGCTCCGCCAATTCTTTTTTGTTTACATTGCAGTTAGCAATTTTTTGCTAACTGGCTAGTTCCTAAATGCTCCTTTTTTCTTACATACTTTGTTTTGTTTGGAACAAATATTAGTATTATGGGGTTTGGCAGGAACGTGTGTATATGATGCCACAGACCTATCTATGGCACTGCACCCCATGCATGCTGTACCTGTAGGTGTTCCCCACACTTCTAAGTTGCAGCGTGGCATTTTTATTTTGACACCAGGCGATCCCAGTGTGAAAAAACCCTGATTTTGGGTGACACAAGTAGCAGCAGTGCGTGCCACCCAAAATCAGAGCCTGGACGGTTGCCAGCCAGGCTCCCTGCTGCTGGATAGCAGTGGCTGCAGCCCCTGGAGGTCCCCAGGACAGGCTGCTGGGCCTACCCCACCCAGGGTAACATGCCGCCTACCAGAATGCATGTGCACGGGGATTCCCCAGGAATGAGTAACAGCAGCACATATTGTGTCACTGGTGTTTGTCGCCAGGGAAACACACATTCCCACTCATGGGGATGTGCCCTATGAGGCTAATTCCAATCTTATCTGAGATCTGCTGCAAGGACGTGAACAGATGAGCACTCCTACTGTTTTAGAGAGTGACTTTTCCTATGGTTCAACTGCTGTAAGTGATTCTTCTGTCTGCTCCTATTCCCTGGTAAATGGAAGTTAATCCAGAATAGTTTACTCCTTAATGAAATAAGATTAAAGTTAGCACAGTTTAGTTTCAATGGCTGTAAGATGGTAGCATACGGATATCTCCTTACCTTTTGTATCTCCATTTCAGCAATGTTAAGGGGCAACTCTGGCAGCTGGGGCACCTGGACATAGGGTTATTTAGACCAGGTACCCAACACAAGCTGCAGGGAATGGATAGTGTGCAGGAGTCTCTGTTACTCACAGGGGAGTGGGCAGGCAGCAGAGCAGCCTGCAGGTGGCTGCACTCCCAATCAGGCACAACCGTCTGATTGGGAAGAGGGCCCAGCTGCTTGTTATAAGAACAGGGCTCTGAGCAGTGAAGCAAGCAGTTGGCTGCTAGCAGCAGGAGAGAGAGCATAACTTGGCTGGAACTGCTGCTTATAACATCTTGGAGGTATAGACATGGATGCCATCTGTGAGGCATGGGACATAGTATAAGGGAAGGTTCAGAGCCATGTATATAGCCCCTCAGCATCAGGGCAAGTAAATGGGCAGCCTCCCACCTTGTTATCTACTTTTCAATTGTATCATCAAAGGCATGGCAGGTGAGGTAGGCAGGCAGTTAGCCCCGAGATAAGTGGGTGGACCAAAGACTCAACTGGCCTCGGGACACCCACTTGTTACCAGGAGTCATCATGGTGGCTTGACACCATTCCAAGTTTCATCCATGCATCAGAATTTGTCTGAGAGCTGAACAACATACGAAGTTCCAAGAACCTCTAGTGGGCAGAACACCATCTAAATGCATCATGTAAAAAGCTTATACAGAACAAACCATAGAAACATCAAGTTCCTACAGGTAGGAGCTCCAGGTGCCCATGTGTGATGATAAATCAGAATGGTGGTGTTATTTAGCTACCACTTGGATCGAGTGTTTTTTCTTTTCTCCCCAGTAAAATCTGGTAATAAGGGACAGCTTTTTTGTCTCAGAAAGAAGCTTTGTAAAATGTGATTTAAATCGTTATGCCAGTCCTATGTTCTTCTTGGCAGTTGCTAACAGATTACTTTTAGCCTATGTGTGAAACTAATAAAAGTTGGACCTTTTATAACCTTTAAAAAAAAGGAAATATGAAATAAACTGCAATATCTGCCACATCTGTAAGAAATACAGTTTATATTCAGTGATATTATTGTTATAGTTTGGCAGTAGCTTTTCTCAGTTTTTGACCCCAATTTCTGTAAAGTATGTTTTAATTCCATTCTAGTAACTCAGAAAGACAAACCAGAAAAACCAGAAAAAGTGGAAAGGAAACCTCCTCCTAAAGGTAATTATTCTGCTTTATCACTTTTTACAATGTGTTAACTATGTAAAATTTCATGTTGAGTAAGCAGAGAGTTGAATGTATATGAAATTGAATAGGTATATTCCACTGTATGCTACTGAATTCTGAAGAAATAAAAACATACTTGATCAGTCCATCTCTGGCTAATGGCTGATTCTCCACATGGTTCCTTCTTTAAACCTGGGTTTAAACCACACGGTTCCTTGTTTAAACCTTTTCTATGACAATAAGTAAAATACAGGCCTTGCTGCATGTTGCACTTTAAGCTGATCAACTGTTGATTGGTTTTAGTGGTAGCTCGAATTCGGAGCAGTTACACCTTAAAAGCTAAAAACCTTCCAGCTGTCCCCCACCTGCACAGCTGTGACTTGCTACTACAGGGCTGGTGAGCAAGGGCCTGACTAGGAGCTACAGTTGTGAATTGCTACTAAGGGGCTGGTGAGCCAGGGCAGGCTCCTATCTCTGCTCTAGGTCGGGGGGTGTGAGAGATGGGTTGAGGGTTGGGGGAGAGGGAGCGTGAAGCTGGAGGCATAGAGTTGATAGGATGGGGGTGGGTAATGAAGTGGAAAGTGGAATGGGTGGGGGAAAGGTAGTGAAATGAATTCAACCACTGAAGGATAATGGGGAAAAAAATAAAAAGAAATAAAAAGGAAGTAAATATTTTCTCAGGATTTAAAAAAATGAGATTTCAGATTGGTGTGTTGGGGGTGCTGGTCATGCATCCTGGGGTGGCTGGGAGGTGGGAAGGCACTTTTGGGGGAGATACTGCATCTGCCCTGATAAGGAAGCCCCAGCTCATGGTTACCTGATCTGGCCAGCTACCTTGTTCCTCTGCATCCCTTCTAGACACCACTCCTGGACCTGTCTGTGTCTTGCAGCCTAGCTGGCATGTGCTCTGCAGGCTGTTTGCATGAGGCTGCACCCCTGCAGGTTGGCAGCTCACACCCCTGCAGGTTGGCAGCTCACACCCCTGCAGGTAGGAGGGGGAGTTGGCTTGGTGCCAAAGCCATTCCCTGAGCAGTAGAGCTCAGGGGATGGAATGGTTGTAGGGTTGTCCACACACAACAAGTGGGGGGCAGGGGACTGCACCCTGGGATGCTGGAGGTCTGTAATTTAGGTGGGTCATCTGTGGGGAGTGGCCACACATTCATGGAACATAAGCTGGGTAACATGGATCAGAGATAAGCATGCCTTGGAGTTGCATAACTTTAAGCTGCCTGAAGTATGTGTTAAAACTAATTTCAAGTATTAATATGTGGATAACCCAGGAGCTAAGAGCTTCAGGAGTTACCTAAAATGAATTTGTAACAGGACCTAAAACTATACATTGCCATATTACTATGTAAGATGAGAGCAGGCTTATCTGAAAGTGATACTTCATAATACTTTTTCACTAAAGTTATAATTCTGTTTCCTTTTATGCATCTAAATGGTACTTTTCTAGCTATAAAAATGGCAATTTTGACATTCACATGTAGGTAACAATTCAAGTTCCCCAGCAGTACCATAGGCTTGTGTATATTGTGCACGCTCAGTCAGTGGGCATACATTTGCTAAGCAAGTACAGGTTTCCCTTGCTTTATGCTGTACATGCATTCCTGGAAAACGGCACATAACTCAAATTCATTTAAAGGGAACCCACTTTACAATGTAACAAATAGGGATAAGTTCCAAGACCTTGGCTGTTCTGACCCCCAGACCAATTTTTGCCACTTTTACAAGACAGTTTTGGTACTCACCAACAGCAGACAGTACACACAAGCACAGGGGACTATCATCATGGAGATGGCAACTACAGAAACATGTGTCGCAGGCAACATGCGAGGAGCACAGATCCACACCAAAGATTATAATTTGGTGTGCATCACTCCCACAAAGCACCCCACAAAGCTGACTGGGGGCTTATACTGATCACGTAAGAGTGAATTTACCTTGCATATAACAAATTTTTGGTATAAAAAAGGTCATCGCATAAGAGCGAATTCGCACATAAAGAACCTGCATAAAGCGAAGGAAACGTACATACACACAGCCATTCTGGACATGTACCTGCATGTAAGCCAGCCAGAAACCCATGTAGCTTCTGGTCAGGTATTATCCAGACTAGTCTCCGGTGCACTTTTTATGGTGGGTTTCTGGGCGTCCAAGAGATGTAGACGTGTGGTGGTACAAAAACAAAGGCTGTGCCGATACGAAATGCTGATGCACAGTAGCTTATTACTACTGTGCAGTAGCATAATGTGGCATGAGCATGATGAAACACTACTGTGCAGTAGTAACAAGCTACTGTGCAGTCAGTGTCACCTAAAAGTTGTTCGGCGATGCTACTGTGCAGTAACTCCAGTTAGTCATTTAGTACTTACGTATACATTTAGTACTTGTGTTCAAGTAACCACTGCACAGTCAGTGTCTCATGTAGATGCAACCAGGCTGGAGGGTATTTGACTCAGTGAGATGGCTTCTGCCTTAGAGGGGAGAAGGCACTGGTTTCTAGTCTGGACCCTTCATCTCAATGGAGTAAAAACTACTCCTACTGCACTGCTCTCTATACAATGGTACAGCATTAAAAGGAGCATTAGAAAAGGTTACCTAACCTTTTGTCCGCTGCTTAGAGCACTGTGCTGGGAAGTCAAAGAAGTGCAACTTCAAACCCTCTCTAGGCAAAGAGGAGCCCAGAACCTAGGCCTCTAGCTTCCTGGACCTTAGCTATCATGAGGAGCTCAAGCACAGGAAGGACACCTGTGGTTCCCTGCCTTGCTTTTCAAGGATTTTTATTCAGGTGTGTGTTCAGATATGTGTATAGCTGTCCATGTGTCCAGTCAACGTGTGGCCCTACTGCACATGCTCAGTCTACCTGCATATGCTTATGCACCCACAGTCTAAATACAAGGCCAAAAAACCCAGATAGACCACTTGAACACCATTTAGATGCACAAAGGGAAGCAGAGTTCTGCCCTAAGTATAGCTAACAACATCCTCATTTCATCAACCAGGAATGTATTCTTATTGTGACTCCAATTAGGAATTGCAGATTGTATAAACAATCACATTCTATTTTATATGCCTATTTTGTTTACAGATTTCTAAAATTAGTTTAATCAGCCCAGAAGCTTAGTAAAGAATGGCTGTGCACAGTATTACTGCAAACAAATTTTGCAGCAGCTTCCAGAGTTCTGGTATGTCAAGGACAGAAGGGCTGAGGACTAGAGGTAATGATTTTGGAGATGGGTTCAGCCTACCCTGCACATCAGCTACTATATCTATGTTAGCAGATCCTACCTAGTGTAGAAACAGAGAATGTTGACAGAAGTTTACTACTGTCAGATCTATACCATCTCATCACATGAATTAGGATAAGTAAACAAAGGCACTTTTTTATCAGCATAGTACATCAGAGGATTTGTTGGTATAGTTAAGTCAACTAAGGGATGGGATTTTTTTTCCCCACATTTTTCACATAGACCCATGTAGCTATGCCAGCAAAACTTTGTAATGTGCCTCAGAAATACACCTACTTCCCTCAATGTCAGTTCCAAACCTATAGGCAGAATTGGGTTCTTGGTTTCTGAAGAAGAAAATAGTTACTTAGCATCAGATACAAAAAGGGAACTTAGAATGACACTGACATTTTCAATGTCTTAAGATTAAGTGTCTGGCTGTGGTTAGGACTTCTCATGTGTGGAGTATCTCCAGACTGTATTAAGTAACATGTGCTCAATTATTGTTAAACCACTCCACAGAGATGATAATATAAGCAATTTGCAGTCCTCACCCAGCTATGACATCAGCCAGGTACCACTCTGCTGTACCAAGCTTTCACTGTCGGTTCCAGCCCTGGCACAACTACTCTGGCTTTGGCCAAGTTATCCAGCTCCACTGAAGTTAATTAAGAGTCTTTCCATTTTATGTATGTTTAAAAAAATCGAATTCACATTAATAGGATAAATTGAGCCTCCTAGTAATAGGATTGATTGGGAGGCTCAATTTATCATTTCTATCTGGAGCTGGTCAGGAATTTTTGGATAAAACTTTTTTTCAGAAAATGGTCATCTGTCAAAACTGAAATGTTTAATAGAAAATTGTGGGTTTTGACAAGCTCCTTTGTTTGAAAAACATTTGAAAAAGTTTCATAGTTGTTCATAATCCTGGTTTTGCCAGTATGAAATAAAAGCTTGAATGTTCAGTTCCATGTTCAATTTTATTTACAGCTTTAAGTTACGTTATAAAACCAAAAAAAAAAAAAATCCAAGAAAATTAAAAAGGTCAAAACTGAAGTCTGTTGAAATTATTGAAAATGAAATGTTTTTGATTGACTTGAGTTGATTCTTTTCTTTTGGTTTAGTTAAAATTTTCCATATTTTTTCTCCGTTTAGTAAAGGGAAACATTTGAGATTTTGAAAACACATGGGACAATTACTGCACAATTCTAAGTACTATTGAGAAAATAAACACTTGAAGGGAATTGTAAACAAAACAAAGTATAATAATACTGCTTTGCAAATATATGGGGTGTTCACACCTTAAAAAATGCATATGGTTTTAGTCCCCCCACCTTAGAAAGGATATGGAACAACTGAAATAAGTGAAAATGGGCACAAGCTGATGGAGAGGAGGTATAGATTGGACATCCGCAAAAACTACTTCACGGTTAGGGCGGCTAGGAGCTGGAACCAACTTCCAAGGGAAGTGGTGCTGGCCCCTACCCTGGGGGTCTTTAAGAAGAGGCTGGATGCCTACCTGGCTGGACTCGTTTGAGTCCCATTTCTCTTTTTGGGGTTTTTTGTTGTTCTCCCGCCCTGGCGGGGGGTCGGGCTAGAAGATCTACTAGGTCCCTTCCGACCCTTAATCTATGAATCTATGAATCTATGAAAATGTACAGAAAAGGGCAAAGATGATTGGGGACATGGGAGGGGAAATGTTGTCAAGTGGGATTTTTCAGCTTTGAAAATAAATGATTGGGGAGGGACTTGATAGAGGTTTATAAAGTGAATGATGCAAAGAACATAAATAGGGTTTTAAAATTTAGTAGCTTATTGCTCCTGGGAAGCTCCCAGATGTGCCATTTATACTTGCACCTGGACTGCAGCACATTGAGCTGAGTTGCGGTAGCCCCAGCTGGCAAGAGGCCCAGGGGGACAGCCTGCCAGCTCAGGGATGCTCTGACTGGCCTCAGTGTGATGTAGAGGGGCTTCCTGGGGCATGCAGATGCTTCAGTGCAGGGCTACCTGGCAGGCAGCCCCTTCACTGAAGCACCCTTGTGCTCTGGCCAGCCACATCAGGATCTACACATGTACTACTATGGAGTTTTTCACTCCGCACCAGGGTAGTGCTTGTAAATACAAGTGCTTGGATTTACAAGTGCTACCCTGCTGTGGAGCTTATTATTTTCCTGTGCTGTAATAGGAGTGAACATGCAGACACTGAGACATTTACTGTGAAGCTAATTAGTGAGCTCCACTGTAAATGTCTCATGTGGATGCACCTAGTGTGTAATTAACTTGTGGAACTCACTGCCACAAGATGTGGTGGATGCTGATAGTTTAACAAAGTTCAAAAGGGAAATAGATTAACAGAGGAAAGGTCTCTCAGTGGCTAGACAACATAGTAGAAAGCGATGCAGCCTCTGAATCAGAAATTCCTAAATGCCAGGAAAGAGCAGGAAGTAGAAAATTCTGGACATTCCCTCTTTTCCTAAGCATCCACACTGTCACTGTGAGACACTGGCCTATTTGTTATACAGTAGTAGTGGGCTAGGGCTAACAGGAAACTAAAAGCCTTGATCAGTAGTTCGAGGGATTCCACTAAAGGTATAACATCTAAATTCTGGGAACAAAGGATGATAAAACTGGAATGGAAGGACAGGCCAGAGGTTAATAACTAGAGTGCCAACTCTGTGAGAGAGGATACTGGGCTAGATGGACCTAGCAGAGGAGAGTTCCAGTGTTCTTATGCTATGTTTTAAATCATAATTGCATATTGCTTTGTATGTGATGTCAAAACACTTCAAAAGCATTAATTAGAAAGCCACATAGTAGAAGTAACACAGACTAATTTTCTTTTCTTCAGTATTGCAGGGCATATTTACCCAAATCTAAGACAAAAGCCCCCCCCCCCCCCCCCC